ATTTGAACTTTAAGTGAAATAAGGTGAAATAAAATAAATTCTAGAGATAGTTTTTAATAGTTCAATGAGTAGAATATAATGTTATTAAAAATTTAAGAATGTCTATAATCGTATAGAAACTATATATCTCTATTTAAAAAACTAAAGACTGAAAAAATTATCTATTTTCAAGAGTATATAGTAATTAGATGATTAAATTGCTACCTTCAACTAGAACTTAGGTCTAAAAATTTTATATTAATAATAAATGAAATAACTTTTTCCGAAAAAAAAAAAATTTTCTAGTCCTTACATTGTAAAGCGTTTCTCTGAAATTCCTTGTATATTTTATTTATAATCATTTGCTAATTGTTTAGAAAAAAATATGACTGACTGCCGAAAAGTACAATATATAAACAAGTAAATAAGGATTACTGTAAAATGAACAAAATTTAGATGATTAATGAGTGCGGGTATTATAATGCCCTTACTAATAAAAGTCTAAACAAAAACTTTTTGAAATTTTAGATGACTATAATTTTTTAATTTCGTAATCGACGACCTTTTTTTTTATAATTTTGTTGTACGCTTTTGGCGCTGAAAATAATTTTCTGCGTCAAATCGTATAACAAAAAAAGCCATCAATAAATGTTATCCGAAAATTTAATGTTAAGTAAAAGATAAACATTTCGAACTTGGCAGATGAAATTCGATTTGCTTAATAAAAAATCCTGTTTCCTTGTAATATGTTCAATCCGCCATTTTACCCACCATAATACCGTAATACAAATAAATTTTTATTATTTATTATTATTCTAAAAAAAAAACAAGTTACAAGTACAGGGATACTTTGTTGGACACAGTATGTAAAAATGGTTTTTAAAAGAGCTATATAGTAACTTTATAGGGATTATGTTGTACTATAAAGTTACCAATCATTTTTTTGAAAATTTAAAACAAGTAAATACTGTATTTGCGCGCGTAATATCAATCGATCGATAGCGCAGATGGGCGTTGAAAAATTGTAAATAATGCCCATGTGCGTCTCAGAATAACGCGTCTGAAGCTAATTGGATTTGCAAATATAGCCAATACTATCGCTATATATTTGTCATACCAAATCTATTACCGGTATGTTTTGTATAAAACGATTCGAAATATCACACGTGTACGTGCACAAGTGTTGTGTTATTACGCGAAAATAAGGTATAGACTTACAGCGCCAGCGCCATATTCGGAAATTTTGGATCATATTTTCCATGTCCTTGTGGATTATTGAATTCAGATGAAGATGGTAATATGCATTATAAAGACAACTAATCACTGTAATGCTAGGATGAATAGAATATTAAAACAATATGTACTGTATAGCTGTAATGATTTCGATGTCAATGGTTTTTTGAGTTAGTGAAAATGATAATATTGTGCTTAATTTATTATTGGTCTTAAACTACTACCGCTACCAAAAAAACAAGCCCTAATAATTGAATGATAAATGTTTCTTAGCTTTTTAATAATATATATCGTCGATATATCACTTATCCATTTATTAATGAATATTTAGCGTTAATTCTTGTGCTACATTACAAAGTGTTCTAAATACATGTGACTTCAAATTTGTTTCACGAAAATAGTGGTAAATTTTTTTATAAAAAAAATCTTTTCGAAAAATTATTGCGATAGTGATTAAAAGCGATTAAAAATAATATAGCATCAAAAAAGAGTGAAAATTCAGGACAATGTATCGAGTTTTGTGTAGGCTACCATTATTCAACAATAATATTTCAAGACATTATTATTCGACAAAAAATAATGAATTAATAAATAATCTTAAGAAAGCGATTAGGGTAATTTTAGATAGAAACGATCTATCAAATTTTCATTTAATGACATTAATTGAAAACAATTTTAATTAGGTAATGGGACCTATATCAATTGCACAATATATGAGAGAGGTATTAACAAATTCTCATGGTGGTTACTATATGACGGGTGATGTATTTGGTAGACAAGGAGATTTTGTTACATCTCCCGAAATTAGTCAGATATTTGGTGAGGTGATTATTAATTTCCAATTCATTATGTTTAATTGCTTATAATAAAACCATTGTTATTTAATATTATTGCTTTTAAATGCTTAGCTGATTGGAATATGTTTTTTGACACAATGGCAAAGTCAAGGAAAACCAAACAAAATCCAGATTATAGAATTGGGTCCAGGAAGAGGAACGTTACTTTATGATATGCTTAATGTAAAAAAAAAAAAAAAATCAGGATTAATTTCTTTTCAAATTTTATGATATTAGTACTATTTTGATAAAACAATTTTTGATAGGCAATATCCAACTTTAATGATTGTTTTCGATCAATATGTGAAGTAAACTTAATTGAGGTAAGTCCAAAGTTACGAGAAATTCAATATCAAAAATTATGCAGCTCATCAAGAAGCAAATTTGATGGAATGAAATTTTTTTGGCATGATTCATTTAACGAAATTTCTGGTATTATATGAACCTTTTATTCATATATTGAGTTAATCTCATTTATTACGTTACGGCGAATTAATGAAATGAGTATTTGACTAGACTATGAGTGCGTCATTTACTATATATATATATCTTTTAACATTTAGCAAATGATTATAAATAAAATATACAAGGAATTTCAGAGAAACGCTTTACAATGTAAGGACTAGAAAATTTTTT